CGACAATTATATTTACGCGATCTAACCCAAAAAACCTCTATTATGGACAGATCATTTTTTAACACGAATTGCCAAAGTGAAACGATTTCTCAAAGGTTTTCATGATCAGTTACAACGTTTTTGACGTATAAACGCGATTCAGTGAAATGTAAAAAAAAAAGACAAAAACATATTTTGCAACAGCTGCTGTAATCCGCAAAGGCATGTTTATTACTCCTGTTCAGTATCAGAATCGGCAGACGCCTTTCAAAAAACCGTACTGCCGAGAGCAGTGCCTCTTAACCTGGGGGTGCGAGACATGGCCAGATCTTTTTTTAGAAGAGAAATCATTTGAAACAGAAATTAAGCACGGGCACGTGAGCACAACCGCTTTGTTTCATCAACCCCCATGTATTTATTAACATAATACATTGTTTACGATTGAGAAGCAAATGTGTGTAAGGCTGCCAACCACTGGCCTAGACCGTTGTCAATTTAAAAGTTGATTGCAACGTATCGATGCAATTATCACCGCTCAACAGAGCGTTCAACCGGTTTTTTTTCCGCCCCCCCCCCATTACAAAAACCCAAGGGCATCGTTTCAAGATGAATGAAACGTTCTGAAAACTGAACTACATTTCAATAATGTAATGCCGCTATTTGGTAAAAGCATAACGTGAAGATTCAACCGTTGCAAATTTCAATATAACAACAAAAAAACTCACGAATTTCCAAAGTCAAAGAATTAATTGCACGCGACTTAAATTCAGGCACATTTCAGAATTGTTTTTGTTTACAAAAAAAGTGTAAAATAATGCACTTACGTCCTCGCTCAAGCAATCGTAAATCTTGCCGCCGCTTAACGCGTCTGACAACGTCCAGAAACAGCGGACGTGGGTGCAAGCGAACTGCGGCTCTGCGACACGCTATGAAAAAGTGGCACCTCTCATACCGTCACCTCGACGTGCTCACATCCCACCACCACCACCACCAACAATACAGTAGAGGAAATGCTAAGAGCCTGGCTCCGGTCCAAGACGAGGCCGCTTGTGCTAATCAGACGCGCGCAGCTGACAAATCGTAGCCGCAAAACGATTCCACTCGATCACGGACCGCGGCGCGCTAAAATAAAATCCCTTACTCGGCCATCTCGAGCGGCAGCGGTTCCCCCCAAGGTGGCGAGAACGCGCGCACCTGGAAGCGCTCCGACTGCTCACCCGGGAGGATTTAAATTCTCAACACAGATATGACGCCACCGCAAGATGCCCTCTTTGCAATCCGTTCGGATGGCAGTGCGCAACGGTGGCACTCGACAGCGACGTTTCATTGCAGTCGTTTTTGCATCCCCCCCTCATTAGTCAGAGGCCCGATCCGTTGCTCCTGACGTGGTTGCCCGGCTTGACCACCCTGACCGTGAAATTGTAGATGTTGGTCTGCATCTACACCATCAGCCGTACGACAAGAAGAAGAAGAAGACGAAGAAGCAGCAGCAGCAGAGGTCGCCATTGCAATACAAAAGAGAATCCGTTATTCTGGAGTTCGGATACGGACAAGGGTAAACAACTTGGAATACCGCGGGGAAGTTTCAGAAACAAAAACATTCAGCAGACGTTCTTAAGAAGAGGAGTCGGTTGCAATGAGTAGGATGTGCGCAGGATGGAGGAGGAGGGGGTGACAGGGTAACACGATGGGCATTGGAGTGACGTTCAGACGCCAGATGGTGCGACAACTGCCAAAGTTAAACCTTGGCTCCAGCTCAACTTTTAAACAGCAGATGGAAGGTGGTGTGCGTTGGCATGAAGAGCACTGGCCATTATGACTTGCTCTATTTCAATATTAATAATAATGTAATTTATCAAGGAAACGCTCACCGAGTCTCAAGACGCTTTCAGGAGGGGCCCTCCATTATGATGTTTGGCCACTGCCTCTTCATTTGATCTCTCAAGGAGTTCTTTACATGTGAGAACATTAAAAAAGTGGAGAACCTGGAGAAACCCCAGGCATAAGAAGAGAGGATAACGCCTAAAGGGCTCGCACAGACAAGTCCACAAACCCGCTTGCTGTACTGCCACGTCATGGCCAAATCGTGGCCCAGCCTGTCGGGGAGTGTCGCAGATCTACACGCGATCAGCACGTGATTCGTCAGCGGTTGCCTCCAGAGTTCTTAACCGCAGGCCTGTCCTGTGCACTGCCACGCCACCACCACACCACCACCACGCCACCACCACCACCGCACCACCACCACATCACCACCACGCCACCACGCCACCACCACGTCACCACCGCACCACCGCCGCGCCACCGCCACGCCACCGCGTGCATGGCGACATGTCACAACGTGTCGGGTGACACCACCGTGTGGGTTGTTGTTGCTTGTGATCCGAGTTGTGTGATCCGAGTTGTGCGATTACAGTTGTGCGCGAGTTTGCTGGGAAGCGCCCGCGTGACAACTGCACACAAGCACCTTGCAGCACGCTTTCCCCACCAGCGGTGGGACTCTCCACTGCCCTGTTGATATCTTGTCAGTCCCGACTTTAAACGCATAGCACCATTTTATATATATAAAAAAAAAATAAGTTTTGCTGGCTGGCTGGCTGGCTGGGACGGACGAGCTAATCGGCTCTGTTCCTCTTTGGCTCTCATCCCGCTGCCCAGTTCTTTGTCTTTGTCCTTTTCATGGACGGCGCCTTGAGACTTTCTTGTGAAAGGCTTCAAGTAAATGCAAATTGCTCCGATTGTTGTTCCCCCTATCGCTGTCGGGCACGGCGGCTGTGACATGCTAAGTGCTTATTTGTAAGTTTTTGCATTTGAACAAATTAAGTGCAGAATTGGTTTTTAATGGAATGGGTTAATTGTGTGCAGTCATTGGTTGTCTGGGCCCCGTTTAATCACGGGCAGCTGCTTCAATTCGAAACCAAGGTCTCAGCACTGCCGGCCCAAAAAAAAGTATAAACGGATTTGTGATAAGCAGCAGTAATCTAATTCATCATCATCATCATCACCACGATCCATGGGCAGATAGCCCATAGGTAATTACTGCACATTTGTTTGCACTTTCCTCTGTCCGATTAACACAATAACTGATTACGCAAGAACAGTGAAGCGTCCCTTCGGGGATGATTAGTACCTGCCGTTGTTAGTGCAGGACTCCTCTACTTACGAACTTTCAGAGATACGCACAAACCTGTCCGTATGTGTCCAGTTGCCTGTTCGGACCGAGAATCGTAAGCTCAACCGCCGCGCAATAGATGGCGGTGGTGGCTTCTACATCTGCAAAACGTGAAGAACCAGTGGCATCTACACCTGCAGAACACGAAGAACCAGTGGCATCTATATCTGAAAAACGTGAAGAACCGGTGACATTTTCATCTGTAGAACATGAAGAACCAGTGGCATCTATATCTGCAAAACGTGAAGAACCGGTGGCATCTACATCTGCAGAACATGAAGAACCAGTGGCATCTACAGAACGTGAAGAACCAGTGGCATCTTCATCTGCAGAACGTGAAGAACTGGTGGCATCTACATCTGCAGAACATGAAGAACCGGTGGCATCTACATCTGCAAAACGTGAAGAACTGGTGGCATCTACATCTGCAGAACATGAAGAACCAGTGGCATCTACATCTGCAGAACGTGAAGAACCAGCGGCATCTACATCTGCAGAACATGAAGAACCGGTGGCATCTACATCTGCAGAACGTGAAGAACCAGTGGCATCTACATCTGCAGAACATGAAGTAGCGGTGGCATCTACATCTGCAGAGCGTGAAGAACCAGTTGCATTTACATCTACAGAAGGTGAAGAACCAGTGGCATCTTCATCTAAAGAACATGAACCAATGGCATCCACATCTGCAGAACGTGAAGAACCAGTGGCATCTACATCTGCAGAAGATTATACAACTTTCCCCGTGTTTAGTGTACACGCCGTACAACACGTTTGGAATTGACAGGAGTAAAGTTGGACTTACGAACAAATCGACTTACGAATAGAACTCTAGAACCTAACTCGTTCGTAAGTAGAGGAGTCCCTATAATCCGATTACAGTCGCTGTGTCAACTCCCTAGCACCGCCTTTGACCACCGGGTCAACGTTGGCAAGCGCAGGACACGGGCTCGTCCGTCACGTACGGCGCCACTTCTTGTTATACCTGAAGTTAAATCGTCGTCGTCGTCATCCATAACCGTGTCATCGCCGAGGCACGTTCCACCTCATCGACAGACTGCGATGGCACTGAACTGCTTTGGGAAGGCAGGCACTGTGTGAGAGAGTCCATGGGCGGCACTGGCGGGGCCGAAGTCGCACTCCAGACTCCCACCAGCCGACAGCCGGAATTGCCGCAGAATTTGTGCTTGCTTAGTCTAAACGTGTTGGCGAAAACACAGAGTGACTCTAGTCTGCACGCTGGTGTCACTGTAGACTGCGGTGTCTGTCATTGCAGTCTACATGCTGGTGTTACTGTAGACCATGGGACAGCAGGCTACACGCTGGTGTTACTGTAGACCATGGGACAGCAGTCTACCCGCTGGTGTTTCTGTAGACCATGGGACAGCAGTCTACCCACTGGTGTTACTGTAGACCATGGGACAGCAGTCTACCCGCTGGTGTCACTGTAGACCATGGGACAGCAGTCTACCCGCTGGTGTCACTGTAGACTGAGACATCTATTCATAATAAAGGTTCTTGGGTTAGATCGCGTTTATTTATAAATGTGTCGCAACCCTCCACCACCCGACACGGCCAATCAGCAAAAAGTGTCACGTTGACAAAGACAAATAATTCACTGCCCTATATAAAACCGGGAGCAAGCGAGGGCTTTACCATTCTGGCGAATTGCCCGATGATGCTGGAAGTATTTACCAGCGAAACGTCGTACTCAAACTGTAAATGTGGATTAGCTCTTCAACACACCGGTGGGCTGAAGTAGTGAATTATTTGTCTTTGTCAACGTGACACTTTTTGCTGATTGGCCGTGTCGGGTGGTGGAGGGTTGCGACACATTTATAAATAAACGCGATCTAACCCAAGAACCTTTATTATGAATAATATTGGTCGCGAAAGCCTACGTGTTAAACTGAGACATCTATCACTGCAGACTACACGCTGGTGTCACTGTAGACAGACATCTATCACTGCAGGCTACTCGCTGGTGCCACTGTAGACTGAGACATCTATCACTGCAGGCTACACGCTGGTGCCACTGTAGACTGAGACATCTATCACTGCAGGCTACTCGCTGGTGCCACTGTAGACTGAGACATCTATCACTGCAGGCTACTCGCTGGTGCCACTGTAGACTGAGACATCTATCACTGCAGGCTACTCGCTGGTGCCACTGTAGACTGAGACATCTATCACTGCAGGCTACTCGCTGGTGCCACTGTAGACTGAGACATCTATCACTGCAGGCTACACGCTGGTGCCACTGTAGACTGAGACATCTATCACTACAGGCTACACGCTGGTGTCACTGTAGACTGAGACATCTATCACTGCAGGCTACTCGCTGGTGCCACTGTAGACTGAGACATCTATCACTGCAGGCTACACGCTGGTGTCACTGTAGACTGAGACATCTATCACTACAGGCTACACGCTGGAGTCACTGTAGACTGAGGCATCTATCACTGCAGGCTACACGCTGGTGCCACTGTAGACTGAGACATCTATCACTGCAGGCTACACGCTGGTGCCACTGTAGACCTTTAATCCACACACTGGGATTGCTGCAGCCCACAAGGCTCCATACCCCGCACGCTCATCGATCAATAACCAGTGCACTGCACGTTAATTAAAACAATGATCAATGATTCCCTACGATCGTTCAGTGGGGCAGTGCCGAGGGTCCGAACAAACAACGGACGGCACGCGGGGCATCCACCCCGGGGGGGGGGGGGGGGGCATCCACCCCGGGGGGGAGGGGGGGGCGCCCCCCGCCAACTCAGGCCCACGGACCCCACGCCCCCGCGGGCCCGGGGTCGCATCGGGGGTCGTCGGGCGGGTAGCTGACGGGCACCGAGCTCTCGTCGTAGCGCTGCAGGCGGAGCAGCAGCTCCCGCACCACGTCGGGAAAGCGGTCGGAGAGGTCCACCCTCTCCTCCGGGTCGGCCACGACGTCGAAGAGCCGCACGCGTCTCCCGGGAGCGCCGCTCGCGAGCGCCGGCGGTGGCTCCGTGGCTCCCTCGGCGTGTGGCGGAGGGAACCACTGGCCGCATCCTGGAAACGGAAGGCCACGGCTGAAATACGGCACGGTGTTCGCGAAGGTGTCATCGAACCACGAAGGTGTCATCGAACCACGAAGGTGTCATCGAACCGACGTGGGGGCAAGCCCTTGTGGTTCCCCCCCCCCCCCCCCCCCAGAAATGCAATATGTGTGTCGTGTGATTAGAATGAGCTAGTCCCGTGACCACGGATAGCTATCCGTGGTGAAAACAGAAACGTGTTTGACCTCTTCCGGCAATAATACAGGAGGTGTTAAGACACCCATTGTCACGTGGCATCAGGTCTGCATCAGCCACACGTGCTTGTGGTAAAACATGCAAACAAACATGCTTTGATAATGTACATGCACTGTCCTTGAAACGGATTGGCCTACACCAGAGACGGCCTCCGTTGTGGCCTTGTCTCACCACAAGTGTTAGACCAGAGAACGCCAAAAGGTGAACAGCACAAATACAATGCAAGTATAAAAGCATTACGACGTCGGGTTGAGCAGTTATAGCTATGGGACCGTTTTTGCTGGTTTCATCATATATTTTTTTTTCCCAGCAAAAAGGGTCCCGTGGCTATCCGTGGCTTTAAATCTGCCACTTTGAGGAAATTCATCAGCGGTCCACCAACGGAGAGAGACTGGCCTTCGATTGGAAAAGTGGAATTTCCGACACTGGCTCAGGAAGCAGCAGCAGAGGTGAGCGCCACCCAAAGCTTCTTTTGCCAAGAAAGAGAAAAAAAAGAGGATTAAATGTAGCAAAGTTCAGAAGTGACTCACCAACAGCTACGGCCCTTGGCTATGTCTGATTGGAGACAGAGATCTGAGGGATGACGGTGTATCTGGGTGTGGTGGGGCATGCCTGTGACCCTGAATTTTGGGGGCGAGAGTTGGTGGATAGCGTCGAGATTTATAAAACTCCCACACCTGCTTGCAAGGTGGTAGGAGATCACAAATCGAATTTGGCCAAACATCCCATTGCAGAAACCTCCTGGAAACAGTCCCGAGACACAGAGAAGGCTTTCCTATATAAACAAATGGAATTATCATCATCATATACGACCTTACCTGGGTCTCCGGTGAGAAGCTTCCAGTTTTTATGCCTCAACGCCGCATGTATGGAGATGTTGAAGGTAGAATTGTTCCATCGAAATGGAAATCTCTCGTTCCGTTCCGCTTTGCCCTCAACGGCACCTGCCAAAGAAAAAAAGAAACCCAAAGTGAAACTGGACACCACGGAGACCCGCGGTGTCAAGGTGATCACGAATGCTTTTACACGTGACTGTCATCCAGTTCAGAGCGCCGGATACGCAAGCAAAATAAATGCATTTGTTTGTCGGCGTTTTACATACACACGTGACACGTGACACGTGAGTGGACGTCAGCCCCACGTAGCCACAGAGCCATGTGGCAGCCTCCTCCTCCTCCTCCAGCAAGTGCAGGGCAACAACAACCAGTACCGCCCGGCACGGCCCTGACGCACTTCACAGCCGGAGACGATGTGCGGCCACGGTCTCCTGGCCCCCCGCAAGTCGCAACAATGGGAAACGTTCCCCAATGCCCCCTTCCTCCTCTCCCCCCCCCCCCCGCCCCCCACCAACTGCCTCCGTCCTCCTGCAGTCAGTCCATCGGCAGGTCGCGTGTGGTGGGGCACAGTGTGGGTACACTGCCGCCTCTTTAAAGGTGCCTGGTTGGACGTAGAAGTGTCGGGCAAGATACCCTGGTGGAGGCACTCTATGGAGATTCGAGTGGAAGCCCCCTTTTTTTTCGCCAGCGGTGGCGTGAGCGAGCAGTTGCAGGACTGCGCCTTTACAAATCACTGGGCCACAGCAGAAATTGGTACCACCTGAGGTGGAAAAAAGCTTTAGCTGCACACCGATGTATTCACGTGCCTGTAAGAGTGAACAATTTTGATAACCACCACTCGTTTCAAACTTGTTATCACGTAATTCACCGTCTTTGGCCACATAATCAAATTGAAACCCCTAAAGTTGTGCCACCTTCAGGTGATAAAAGCTTTATCCACACACCGATGTGTTCACGTGCCTGTAAGAGTGAACAATTTTGACAACCCCCGTCAGTCCACTGCCGGATGAGGGCCTCCCCGCGCCGTGGGAGAATGTGGCGTGAGGGCCAAGAAGACGAGGGAGGCGTAGCGGCCTGCACAGCACGATGGTCGCCCATGTCAAGAACTATCCAGCCTCAAAAGCATGCCGAGCTTCCGAGATCTGACTAGATCGGCCGACCTGGGCGAGATCACAAATCTAAACAGATTTGAAGTCAACTCGGTGATATGGAACGAGAGGTCAGCCCCCGCTACCTCCACGCTCGAACGGGCACGGGGCGGCGCTCATCACCGCTGGTGACAACGGATCAGCGGTGAAAAAAATCCTCATTCCTATGGCGGGGGCGAGTCTATCCATAGGACAACCGTTGTACACTTCCCACGGAGTACGAAACTTATTCGAGCAACCCGGAGGCGATGGGTTTGGCCGAGTCAATCGCGGACGAAAAATGTTGAACTTGTGACCTTCCCATCGTGAGTTTGCATGCTCTGATTAACAGAGCCAAGTGGCCGCCAAGGTTGGGGGGAAACGTTAACAACCAGACGCGGGCAGTTCCACAATTTTCAGACGCACATTTCAGAGCCACTTTTGCAGACGTGTGGGGGGGTGACCGTGAGAAGCGGCCACGCGCCGGCTGGGCACACAGTGCGCCAATTGACAAGGCAGTACAATTCAGACGAGAGATCATTGCCCGCCGTTCTGGGCGATGTCACGGCGCCGGGATTGCGACGTTTCATTTTGCGTCATGTGTCAAGGACCATTTCTAGAAGTGTGGACGATCACCTTCAAACTTGCGGCCTGAACCTGGTCGTATTATTATTAATGGTTTAACACGTAAGAGGCTTTCGCGCCGAATATCATCCATAATATGTTCTTTTGGATTAGATCGCGTAAATATGAATTTGTCGTTAAACCCGCCACCGGGAGGATTTCTGGCTGTCGCCTGATGATGCTGGTTGGAATTACTGGCAAAATTTTAAATGTTGTGGATTTACTCTCCAACACACCGGTGTGCTGTACTAGTAACGAATTGGCCACGTTCTGTTTACGTGACAAACCTTACTAGTTGGCTGTGCCGGGTGGTGGCGGGTTTAACGATAGATTTATATTTACGCGATTTAACCGGAAAAAAACGCTTATTGCGTTAGTCTCTTTCATGTGTACACGTACCCCTTGACTTGACGCTTTCGTGACTGCAGGGATTCATATTCTTTGGGTGTTTCGGTAAAGTCACGTAGATAGGTTCAAAGAAAATAACAAAAAATAGCAACAAAACACTACAACGTTTCGATCGCAACACAAGCGGTCCAAACGTCGTAGTGTTTTGTTATTTTTTGTTATCGTACGTCTCGCTTTCACGGCGGCACATTGGCCTAGGGTGTCCTCAAAGGGGGTGGATCGACACGATAGCCAGATGCGGTAATCGTCGGGCTTGGTACATGGTAGACCGCAGCAAATTTTTGTATGAATTATTATTTTAAAATATGTTTTCTTAACATTGTTTGTATTTGCGTTTATCTGTTGATTCGGGGGCCCCTTGCGGCTGACTGGGCCCCTATGCGTCGCAACAGCGCTACCCCCAATCCCCATAGTTGTGCCACTGCCGAGGAGAAGGCGATCTGAAGATCTCAGGGACCTCGTCGGAGTTTAAACACAGATCAGTTTAAGTAAATATTGCGGGGCTATATTTACATACAACACCCGTACATGAAGTGTATGTCTTCAGTGAGACTTACACGGCAGATTGTCTTCAAACATCGGGTCGATGTTGTGAAGAATTTCTACCCGCGGCGAAGGGTGTCCGTCACTGCAACAAGAAACGCGTTGAGTGAGCCGGGCGGCGGTGGAAACCTCACGCGGAGCTCTGCAGCCGCACGCGGAGCTCTGCAACCGCACGCGGAGCTCTGCAGCCGCACGCGGAGCTTTGCAGCCGCACGCGGAGCTCTGCAACCGCACGCGGAGCTCTGCAACCCCACGCGGAGCTCTGCAACCCCACGCGGAGCTCTGTAACCCCACGCGGTGCTCTGCAGCCCCAGCGAGGGTTCGGTGGATCGCTGCAACCAATGTTTCGGAATGCCCCAATCCGTGGGCGTCGAGGAGGATCCATCCACCCCTGGATTTTCCAGGAGAACGCGGTACGGTAAATATGGACTCCACCTGTTCCATCTGTATGGCTTTTATCCGGGTGCTCCAGTTTCCTAATTAGCTGGCCGATAACACCTTAATATATAGAGGATTGCAGAGCTCGGGGGGGGGGCTCACTGCGTGGCTTCTGCTATCTTCACGCTCGTCCGTGGTTCCTCCTCCCTCTCTCTCGTCGAGAGCGAGCGAACACCGTGTGACGGCGGTGCGGTACAAGTTTAAATTATTTTTATTTGAAAACAAAACTATTTTTTTTACTTTACCAGGTAAGGGCGCACTGAGCTGTATCGCTCTTTTTCAGAAGCGATCTGGCTACCACAATCAATAGCTCAACTAAGTGGCTTACCACGTGAAAATGTATAGCAGTATGCCAAATACACTAAATGCGTGACGTTCATTCTAAATGTGGAGGGAAAAAAACGGAGGAGCTGATGAAAAATCCGCGCGACCACGAGGAGAACACGCAAACTCCAAATATGCAGCAGCAGCAGCAGACGTCTGGGTCGGGATCGAACCCACGACCTCCTGCACACCAGGCGAGGTAGTTAACATCTCCTAGCCACCGTGGTGAGATGTTAATTGGCAACAAACCACAGACAAGCAGGAAGATAGCCACAACCCGCACCAAGATCTGCGGTCCTGCATTAGAGTGTTTGGCCAATTCAATGAACGAGTATGGATTCCTGCAGTCACGAAAGCTTCAAATCGAGATTAATGAGTGTTTATACACGTGGGAGGAAACTGGAAAACCCGGAGAAAACCCACTCGTGCGAGGGGGTGGAGGGGCAACTCTATCCCCGCACAGATGGAAACGGATGGCGATTAGTCAACTTGCTGCACTGCCTTCTCCTGGCAAGCCAGGGTATGGCACACCTCCTCGAGAACGCACAGGAAAGGAGTTTCACAACACTTTTCCGGTGATCCACCAAACCCTCCACACTTTTGGATTGCAGGCAGCTGGGTGCAGCAGCCACCGCCCGCGTGCGCCACGTTAATAGAATCTCAATCGCCCAGTTAGTTATGGTCATCCGTCACGTACTAAACACCGCCAATGTCGCGTCACCGGCATTCATCAGCACGTTTGATTTTGCAAACGAACGAATGCTCAACAACCTAACAGACAAAACATCGTACACACATACAACACCCGTACATCCAACAGGCAAAATATCGTACATACATACAACACCCGTACATCCAACAGACAGAACATCGTACATACATACAACACCCGTACATCCAACAGACAAAACATCGTACATACATACAACACCCGTGCATCCAACAGACAAAACATCGTACACACATACATCACCCGTGCAGCCAACAGACAAAACATCGTACATACATAACACCCGTGCATCCAACATACAAAACATCGTACATACATACAACACCCGTACATCCAACAGACAAAACATCGTACATACATACAACACCCGTGCAGCCAACAGACAGAACATCGTACACACATACAACACCCGTACACCCAACAGACAAAACATCGTACACACATACAACACCTGTACATCCAACAGACAAAACATCGTACACACATACAACACCCGTACATCCAACAGACAAAACATCGTACATACATACAACACCCGTGCATCCAACAGACAAAACATCGTACACACATACAACACCCGTGCATCCAACAGACAGAACATCCTTCGAAAAAGACGTGCTCCAGGCAAACCTACACGGGGATGGACCCGGCACCCTATAGATTATAGCTAGTCTAGAATGCACCTTATAGCTTTCCAGACGTCGAATCCGTCCAGGGGCTTGGTCCCCGCGGTCGACCCCCCGGCGAGGTTCACGAGCGTGGGCAGCCAGTCGGAGATGTGGACGAGCTCGTCGCAGACCGCCCCCCTGCCGCGCCTCGCCAGCAGCGGGCTCGCGACAAACCCCACGCCGCGGACGCCGCCCTCCCACAGGGTGCCCTTGCGGCCACGCAGCGGCCAGTTGTTGCCTCCCGCCAGCGTCTGCCCTCCGTTGTCTATTGAGCGGTGCGGGGGGGGGGTACAAAGACAAAGATTCCCCGTGTGGCCTTAACACACTGCAGGGGCAAGTGCTCTTAGCGAACACTTGTTGAAGGCCGGCGCGGCACACGACGGAGTGGGTGGCCAACACGACGCTCGGTCGCCTTTGTCTCCCCATAGCGGTGATGGTTTTACACATCGCGCCAGGTACTCGGTTGAGGCCGAGTCGACCTAGGGAAGGCCCAGGGTCGCCGGGTTCGTAGCGGAGCGCGCTCGCCGCTACACCACCGTTTCCATCGACACCACGTGGCACGCGCGATGGTGCGAGTTAACGCGCAGGACGATTTGCGGTCATTCGGCACGAAGCAATGTTGTTTAAGGGCACGAAAGTGGATAAATATGGGGGTACAAATATTGACAAAGACATCCTTGATATACAGGCAGTCTCCGGGTTAAGGAAAGGTTAAGGAAAGGTTAGGATTCCCACGAACGATCCGTGACCCGAATTTTCCGTATGTCGGGAACTGAACAATTTTCCCCAAAAATCAAGAGAAATCCCATAGCCGGAAAGAGTTGTGCCTCCCCTACTACCCGATGACGAGTTCGTTTTCTCTCAGTACTCTATCGCTACCTGTACTGTATCGTGTCAAGGTACGTACGCTCTGCACTCCTTACGATTCTTTCATTTCATCGAATATCTCCCCTATTAATGAACATTTCCTGTATCCAGAAAACAAACAATTACGTCATGCTGCAAAAGGGAAAGAATTACGTAACACTACAAAAAATTCCATTTACCGAAATCCTGGTGAAGATCGGGCCTGGTGAAGGCGGCGTTTTGGTGGAGAGCCTCGTAAGGCGGGTCCGGCTTACGCCTCGCTCCGCAACCTCACCGCGGCGCTGCACTACTCACGCCTACGTAACTGACGCAACAAAAATCCGCATATTGCATTTGTTTTGTAACGTGATTTATGGGCGCATTTCCGTAAAGTCGCATTTCCGTAAGTCGGGCGTTCCGCAACCCGGGGACTGTCTGTACGGTACAACCAACGCAGGACAACAATGGGTTTGGCTGCACTGCCCTCTGCTGCCCACCGCGTAGGCCCACAGCCGGTCGCACCCGTTTATGAGCGGGCGGACACCCACCCAGTATCCGTGCGCATCCCGTGTGGTCTAGCCGCATGCTCTCCGTGTTCCCATCGCTACGTCGTATCCACGTCGCGTTACGGAGACAAACAAAACCCCCCTCCCCTCTCACGGTCGAGCAGCGCTGCACGTCAGGGAACGGCTCCTGGGAGGTGGCGCCACTTGAACCACTCCGGCGGTCACGTGGCGGCCTCTCACTGTGCAGTCGGCGGTCACGTGACGGCCTCTCACTGCACCGCCCGGCGGTCACGTGACGGTTTATTTTGTGCAGTCGGCAGTCACGTGACGGTCTCTCACTGCACCGCCCGGCAGTCACGTGACGGCTTATTTTGTGCAGTTGGCAGTCACGTGACGGACTCTCACTGCACCGCCCGGCGGTCACGTGACGGCTTATTTGTGCAGTTGGCAGTCACGTGGCGGTCTCTCACTGTGCAATCGGCGGTCACGTGACGGTCACTCACTGCACTGCCCTGCAGTCACGTGACGGTCTCTCACTGTGCAGTCGGCGGTCACGTGACAGACTCTCACTGCACCGCCCGGCAGTCACGTGACGGCTTATTTTGTGCACCCTCGCAGCGGCGGCTTTTGGCTGCTGCCATCGAAGCCAAAGACTGCCACTGCATGGCGCGCTTTCAGGTGCGCTTCTGCGGCCGTCTGGAACGATCTTCCTTCCGATACGAGGAAGGCACTGGAGCTGTGTACTTTTAAATCTCGATTGAAAGGTAATTTCTCAAGAACCGCTTTTTGTAAACCCACGACAGTTACTCGTTTGTAAATGTTTTACAAGCATTTTGTTTGTAAACACAGTGTTTACTGTTGTGAACACTGTGTTTACAAACACACCGGTGTGCTGAACTAGTAACTAATTGACACGTTTTGTTTACGTGACAAACCTTACTAAGTGGCTGTGTTGGGGGCAGTGGCAGGTTTAACGAAACATTTATATTTACGTGATCTATGCCCAAAAAAGAACTTCTATCATGGATAATATTGTGTCGCGAAAGCCCTACTACTACTGCGTGTTAAACTGATATTCTTTGTCGTTGTTTTCAAATGACGGCAACCCGAAGCCACGGGCGGGAATTAAAAAACAAACTCAAATGCCACTCTGGAGAGGCGACAAACCACCACGACCTGAAACGCGACCGTCTCACCCGTGGAGAAGACAAGCACGGTGTTATTCCAGAAGTCGAACTTCCGCAGGGCCTCGGTAACATTCCCCACGGCCTCGTCCATCATGGACACCATGCCGGCGTACTTCCGCCTCTTGGCGTCTCGGATGAACGCGTAGGGCTCCAGGTACTTCTGCGGGACTTGCAGGGGCTCGTGAACAGACTGCAGAGCGAAGTACAGGAACAGCGGCTGGAGGAAAAAAAAAACACAATAGGGAGGGGGGGGAGGACATGGTGAGCTGGTAGCAATGTTCAGCATCTCCCGGCTCATACGAGCAGCGCGGCAGCGCTAATCTTTGGCGTTGGCTCCCGGGACGGCGGGGGGGGGGGGGGTGAGGAATTTTACATTCCCACGGTAGAGTCTGCCCACGGGGCGACAGCTCTTGAAATTCGCTCTATCGAACCCCAGAGGGATGATAGATAGGCTGGGCTGTGTGATTTGAACTCGCGACGTTTGTTCGGATCAAAGGCTGGGGCTGGGGTGAAATGCCAGATGAGGCCCCCTCTGAGGCCCAGGGAACTCCCCCCTCCCCTCCTGTCAACCCTCCTCTCCTGTCCCACCTGCCCCACCTGTCCCACCTTGCCCCACCTGCCCCTCCTTGCCCCCAACCTCCCCCTCCCCCTACTCAGCAGCCCTGTTCCGACTCGGAGTCAATACTGAGCCTGGTGGTCACACAAAACCGTAATTGTTTCCGTCCGTTTAATTTACAGTGGCTGAAGTTCAAGTGACGGACCACAAGGCACGTTCGGCAACGTAAACACGACCTGCCTATAACGTAACTATGATGCGGTTCATAAAGTCAATCGCCACACGAGGAAGAGCCGCCACCACCACCACCACGTTCCCATGGCCGTCATTTCACGATGCCGCGTGGGAACTGGCCGGTCGCCCCCCCCCCCCCTCCACACTCACCGCGCCCGGGCTCCCCGCTGCCTTCCCCACGCCCCTCCTGACAGCTACGAGAAGCCACTGCGGGCAGCGTTGTGACCCTGGCGGCGTCAGCGAGGCCGCGCGAGCTGCGAGCTCCTCCCGAGTGGTCCGGGGAGCGAGGTGGAGGGCCCCCCGACCGGGTGGAGATTGAAGCCCTGGGGGCGCCGTCGAGGAAGACGGAAGCAAGCAGAGGGGAATAACTCTGCGCGTCGACTCGCGATACGTGGGTTGTCGCGTTCCCGCGTTGTCGCGTTCCCGCGTTGTCGCGCGAGAGAGAGAGAGAGACGAACATTTGCAAGGATTGCAAATGGCGCCGGCGGAGGACGCCGTGCAAACGAGACGGAGAAAGTGAGGCAAGGATCGATTCTTGGATCGAATCAGACCCCCGAATGATGACGAATCATTGAAACCCTGGAAGGGGGTTTGTGGGGGTGTGGGTGGTGAATCGTTCAATTAATCCGTGGGAGCGGTGGCGCAGTGGTTAGCACACTGCGTTATGAACCCAGTGACCCGAGTTCAATTCCCGCTCATGGCCAATAAGAGTGGCGAATATTTGTCCTGAGCCTCCCCTAAGTCGACTCAGCCTCAAATGAGTACCTGGTGCGGTTGTGTAAACATCAGCACCGGGGAGACAAGGGTGGCCTGGCGTGGTGCTGGCCACCCACCCCGGCGCGTCCTGTGCTGGCATTCATAATAGGTGCTCGCCAACGGCACTTGCCTCCAACCTCCTGACAACAAATAATACCTCGACGAAGCGGCCGATCGCGTGAAAATTTACAGCGGCGGCATCCTGTGTCCCAGGCACAGGCTCCGACCGTCAGCTCTCGTACCTTGCTCTGATTGTGCTTCGCAATAATCTCCCGGGCCCTGTCGACGAAAATCCCGGCCGAGTAGTCTCCCTCGTAGCCATGGGCGACGGCTTCTCCGTCCCTGAAGTCCAGCGCACAGGGCGTGTGGTTGAGGGCCGGCGTGGGCACGCACCGCTTGTGGGAGTAGTAGTCTTCGCTGCCCGTCAGGTACCCTGCGCTCGTCACGAGGAGTTTAAACGCCGCCCTCACCAATGAGTCGCTGGGCTCATACGCGATCCGAGGGTCACCTTCGTTATTGTACGCACATTGAACTTCTTTTGCACCGCACGTAGCCAACCGTGCTAATCGGAGGTGCCGAGGAAGGACAACAAACTATGTATGGCTCTCTCTGTGTGAGTCTATGGGTCTCTGTGTGAGTCTATGGGTCTCTGTGTGAGTCTATGGGGCACTGTGTGAGTCTATGTGGCTCTGTGTGAGTCTATGGGTCTCTGTGTGAATCTATGGCTCTCTCTGAGGCTATGGGTCTCTGTGTGATGAGTCTATGGGTCTCTGTGTGATGAGTCTATGGCTCTCTCTGTGAGTCTATGGGTCTCTGTGTGAGTCTATGGGGCTCTGTGTGAGTCTATGGGGCTCTGTGTGAGTCTATGGGTCTCTGTGTGAGTCTATGGATCTCTGTGGGAGTCTATGGGTCTATGTGTGAGTCTATGGGGCTCTGTGTGAGTCTATGGGTCTCTGTGTGAGTCTATGGATCTCTGTGTGAGTCTATGGGTCTCTGTGAGTCTATGGGTCTCTGTGTGAGTCTATGGGGCTCTGTGTGAGTCTATGGGGCACTGTGTGAGTCTATGTGGCTCTGTGTGTCTATATGTCTCTCTTTGAGTCTATGGGGCTCTGTGTGAGTCTATGGGTCTCTGTGTGAGTCTATGGGGCTCTGTGTGAGTCTATGGGGCTCTGTGTGAGTCTATGCGTCTCTGTGTGAGTCTATGGGTCTCTGTGTGAGTCTATGGGTCTCTGTGTGATGAGTCTATGGGTCTCTGTGTGATGAGTCTATGGGTCTCTGTGTGAGTCTATGGGTCTCTGTGTCTATCTATGGGTCTCTGTGTGAGTCTATGGGGCTCTGTGTGAGTCTATGGGTCTCTCTTTGAGTCTATGGGTCTCTGTGTGAGTCTATGGGTCTCTGTGTGAATCTATGGGTCTCTGTGTGAGTCTATGGGTCTCTGTGTGAGTCTATGGGGCTCTGTGTGAGTCTATGGGTCTCTGTGTGAGTCTATAGGTCTCTGTGTGAGTTTATGGGTCTCTGTGTGAGTTTATGGGTCTCTGTGTGAGTCTATGGGTCTCTGTACGTGTCTATTGGTCTCTGTGTGAGCCTACGGGTCTCTGTGTGAGTCTATGGGTCTCTGTACGTGTCTATGGGTCTCTGTGTGAGACTACGGGTCTCTGTGTGAGTCTATGGGTCTCTGTGTGAGTCTATGGGTCTCTGTGTGAGTCTATGGGTCTCTCTGTGAGTCTATGGGTCTCTGTGTGAGTCTACGTACGTATGTACGTTGAACTTTCTTCGCACCGCACGTAGCCAACCGTGCTAATCAGAGGTGCGGGGGGAAGGACAACAAAGTGGTGACGATACAAATCGTCTCATTCGCATCGTCCCACTCGTATCTGTCGTTTGTTCCGTTGCACGCGTTCTGTCCCCGATTCCGCGCGTGGGCTTTTCACGACCGACGTCACGATTCCTAATTCGTGCTCCGGCTTCGAAATTGCGTGTGGCCACGATGCCGATTCATTGATTGACATCGATCGTTAAGCTCACGATGCTGTTCACCAAATACGTGGCGGTAAGAACTGACCCTGGACGATTCGTGTTTTGCTGCATGGAACGGGTGCATCTGCCCACTGCAGCCACTCAGAAGCTGCTACATTTATATATATAAAAAACAACAACAATAGCCTCAACCGGTTCCACGCCACCACAACAGCGCTCGCTCACTCACTCGCTCTCGAAGAGAGAGAACGACTCGGAGGCACGAAGAGGAACCGCAGACGAGCGGGAAGGCGGGGTAAAACATTTGACTGTGCAAACAGCAAATCCATGAAAAAACAGCAAAAATATTCCTGAAAAAAAGCACCGCACACCAACGCTGTGTGCAAAAATCCCAGTGGGATGAAAGTCAAACAACAACAACAACCACAAGAAAACTTAGATTAAGGCCATCAGTCTAACTCCGTACTACAACAAAACAAACGTGTCCAAACCAAAAAACTTTTTGAAATCACCAAAAAATAAAGCCATAAAAGCAATGTAACAGTGATCATAGGGACTGACCGAATTTTCACAATAAACGACATAAACAACATGTAACACCAAACCCTAGAGCCACAGCTGGCTGCATGAGTCACTCCACAACAACAGCAGCATCAGTCGGAGTATCAAATTTTTCAATGCACCTTTAAGATCAGCACGCTAAGTCAAAATACAGATAATAACACATCCAGATAATTGCACAGCGATCCACCAACCCCCTCGCTGCCTCCTCCACAGTGCTGGATGGCAGCACGCGTAGCCACGACCGCCACCGCTGCCACCACCCGGCTACAATGTTTAAAATGTACAGTAAAACCTTGGATTGCGAGCATCATTCGTTCTGGAAACGTGTTTGTAATCCAAAGCACTCGTCTATCAAAGCACTCGTATATCAGTTGTGATCACGTGACGCTGGGCAGTACAAAGCGTGTATACGTACACTACTCGTGTTGAAGACCCTCGCTCGTTTATCACATTAATATTTATTTAAATGTTTTGCTCGTCTTGCAAAACACTCGCGTGCCAAGTTACTCGCAATCCAAAGTTTTACTGTACACTCAACGCAAATCGTTTACAAATAATGATTACATCTACTGAACTGAAACCCTACCCTGAACCAAGACTCGCTCATCCTTGGATATGGAACTGGAAACTTCCCAAGGGGGAGTGGTGTGGGAGGAGGTGGACAGTCCTCAAATTCCACGTTTTATAAACAGGGCACTGCATTGAAAACAATAAAAAATAAAACACTCAATGCATTTTTTTTCTCTGGTAAATTTCAATAAAAAAAAATATCAAACATATTCTGGGCCTCGTGTGTGGGCGGTTGGGGGAAGGAAGCTTCCAAATCCGCCGCCGATTCGCTCCGAAGGTGATGGCGTTTACAACAACAACAACAACCACAAAGCGCGCCAACGTTGAGCCGACGTTGCACTCACCAAAGTACGAGTCGAAGCCCCTGCGCGTGGGGAGGCACTCGCGCTTGTACATGCCCAGGTGCCACTTCCCGACCATGTGCGTGGCGTAGCCGGCCTGCTGCAGCAGCTGGGGCAGCAGCGTCTCGTCGCTGGGGAGGCAGTGGGGCTGGCAGGGCCAGATGATGCCGTGCTGCAAACCCGTGTGGATCTGAACAACAACGGACAACAATAGACGATACACAGCAACCTACTGTAGCAACAAAACAAAAAACTATCATGAAACCTCGGATTGCGAGTAACCTGGTCTGCGAGTGTTTTGCAAGACGAGTAAAAATTTAAAATAAATATTCACTTGATAAACGAGCGAGGGTCTTGCAATACGAGTAGTACGTGTATACGCTTTGTACTGCCGAGCGTCACGTGATCACAACTGATATACGTTGTGCTTTGATATACGAGTGCTTTGGATTACAAACACGTTTCCGGAACGAATTATGCTCGCAATCCAAGATTTTACTGTATATATATTTTAAACCATTTTGTATTTTACCAGGTAAGGCGCACTGGAAAATGTAAAGTGTTGTTGTTATCGTTCGGAAAAAATGGAAGGAACCGGACCGCGTGGAAGAGCTAACAGAGAATAGCTTGATGACGTGATAAGAGATTGCTGCCAGACAGATGTGGCCACGACTTGAGTACATTAGCAGAGGAAAGTGGAAACAAATGACCAAATGTGCAGTGGACGCCTGCTACGGGCTATCTGCCCGTGGGTCGTGATGTTGATAATGATGAAGTAGGCCCACTGAGCTATGTAGCTCTCTTTATTTGAAGCTTTCGTGACTGCTGGAATCCATACTCTTTGGCTCTTTCGGGAAAGTCACGTGGTTAGAAAACTAAATATATCACGACGTTTCGATCGCAACACAAGCGGTCGTCCTCAGGCGGAAAAAAAATAATCCAGCAGTGGGCCCGCTGAAACCAGCGAGCACTTTTACAGAAGCACAAACGCTCAGTCGACTCAGCCTCGAATGAGTCCCTGGTGCGGTTGTGTAAACGTCAGCACCGGGGAGACAAACGTGGTCCTCTGCTGGCCTTCAAAATCATCGGTGCTCGCCTAACAGCACTTGCCCCCAACAGTCTCACAAATGTCAGCACGACGAAGTGGCCCTATCATCACGTGCACATTTATAGCAGCCAAATACTCTCAACCAGTGTGGCTCTTCAGCTTTCCTGCAGACTGTACACCTTTGGTGGTCAATCGTAAACAAATGTACAATGTTAATAAATACAGAGGGGTTAATGCAACAAAGCAGTTGTGCTTAAGTGCCCGTGCTTACTTTGCGTTTCGATGATTTACCTTCTAAAAAAAATCAGGCCACGTCTCGCATACCCTAGAAAGGGCATCTCGCCCTAAATGTGGAGTGAAAACCCGGAGCACCCGCAGAAAAATCCACGAGACCACGGGGAGAGAGAGAGAGAGACACGCAAACTCCAAATATACAGCAGCAGACGTCAGGGTCGGGATCGAACCCACGACCACGCTAGGCCAGGCGACCTCGTTAACATCTCCGAGCCACCGTGGCCACACCCCGAGTTACCGTCCCCCAATTACGGGGATAGAGCGTTGCACCCTCGTGTGCGTGGGGTTTTCTCCGGGTGCTCCGGTTTCCACCCACGTCTATAATACACACTTGTGTAATACACACTTGTGTAACACACACGTGTATAATACACACTTGTAAAATAAACACTTGTAGAATAAACACTTGTGTAATACACACTTGTACAATACACACGTGTGTAATATACACGTGTACAATAAACACTTGTGTAATGCACACTTGTGTAACACACACTTGTGTAATAAACACTTGTGTAGTACACGCGTATGTATTACACACTTGTGTAATAAACGATAATCAGTTTTTAAAATAAAAACTCAGTGCAGGCAACTCACTGCTCGCTTCTGAGATCCCTTCTCATTGAACACATTCAGACCCATTTGGTCGTCTATGTGTGTGTGACAGGTCTATGTGTGTGTGTGACACGTCTATGTGTGTGTGTGTGACACGTCTATGTGTGTGTGTGTGACACGTCTATGTGTGTGTGTGACACGTCTATGTGTGTGTGTCAGGTCTATGTGTGTGTGTGACACGTCTATGTGTGTGTGTGTGACACGTCTATGTGTGTGTGAGACACGTCAATGTGTGTGTGAGACACGTCTATGTGTGTGTGTGACACGTCTGTGTGTGTGTGTGACACGTCTATGTGTGTGTGACACGTCTATGTGTGTGTGACACGTCTATGTGTGTGTGTGTGTAACACGTCTATGTGTGTGTGTGACACGTCTGTGTGTGTGTGACACGTCTGTGTGTGTGTGTGTGACACGTCTATGTGTGTGAGACACGTCTATGTGTGTGTGTGACACGTCTGTGTGTGTGTGACACGTCTATGTGTGTGTGTGCGTGTGAGACGCGTCTATGTGTGTGTGACACGTCTATGTGTGTGTGACACGTCTATGTGTGTGTGTGTGTGACACGTCTATGTGTGTGTGTGACACGTCTGTGTGTGTGACACGTCTATGTGTGTGTGAGACGCGTCTATGTGTGTGTGACACGTCTATGTGTGTGTGTGTGACACGTCTGTGTGTGTGAGACACGTCTATGTGTGTGTGTGTGACACGTCTGTGTGTGTGTGTGACACGTCTATGTGTGTGTGATACGTCTGTGTGTGTGTGAGACACGTCTATGTGTGTGACACGTCTATGTGCGTGTGAGACATGTCTGTGTGTCTGTGAGACACGTCTATGTGTGTGTGAGACACGTCTATGTGTGCGTGAGACACGTCTATGTGTGTGTGTGACATGTCTGTGTGTGTGTGAGACATGTCTGTGTGTGTGTGACACGTCTATGTGTGTGTGACACGTCTGTGTGTGTGTGTGAGACGTCTATGTGTGTGTGACACGTCTATGTGTGTGTGTGAGACACGTCTGTGTGTGTGTGTGAGACGTCTATGTGTGTGTGACACGTCTATGTGTGTATGTGTGTGTGTGACATGTCTATGTGTGTGTGAGACATGTCTATGTGTGTGTGAGACATGTCTATGTGTGTGTGAGACACGTCTGTGTGTGTGTGACATGTCTGTGTGTGTGAAACATGTCTATGTGTGTGTGAGACACGTCTATGTGTGTGTGTGACACGTCTATGTGTGTGACACGTCTATGTGTGTGTGTGTGTGACATGTCTATGTGTGTGTGAGACATGTCTATGTGTGTGTGAGACACGTCTGTGTGTGTGTGACACGTCTGTGTGTGTGTGACACGTCTATGTGTGTGTGTGACACGTCTGTGTGTGTGACACGTCTGTGTGTGTGTGTGTGACACGTCTATGTGTGTGTGTAAGACACGTCTGTGTGTGTGACACGTCTGTGTGTGTGTGACACGTCTGTGTGTGTGTGACACGTCTGTGTGTGTGTGACACGACTATGTGTGTGTGAGACACGTCTATGTGTGTGTGAGACACGTCTGTGTGTGTGACACGTCTGTGTGTGTGTGTGACACGTCTGTGTGTGTGTGACACGTCTATGTGTGTGTGTGACACGTCTGTGTGTGTGACACGTCTATGTGTGTGTGTGACACGTCTGTGTGTGTGTGTGACACGTCTATGTGTGTGACACGTCTGTGTGTGTGTGTGACACGTCTGTGTGTGTGTGTGACACGGCTATGTGTGTGTGTGACATGTCTATGTGTGTGTGATACGTCTATGTGTGTGACACGTCTATGTGTGTGTGACACGTCTATGTGTGTGTGTGACACGTCTATGTGTGTGTGTGACACGTCTATGTGTGTGTGTGACACGTCTATGTGTGTGTGTGACACGTCTATGTGTGTGACACGTCTGTGTGTGTGTGTGACATGTCTATGTGTGTGTGTGACACGTCTGTGTGTGTGTGACACGTCTATGTGTGTGTGTGACACGTCTATGTGTGTGACACGTCTGTGTGTGTGTGTGACACGTCTATGTGTGTGTGTGACATGTCTATGTGTGTGTGACACGTCTGTGTGTGTGTGACACGTCTATGTGTGTGTGTGACACGTCTATGTGTGTGACACGTCTATGTGTGTGTGTGACACGTCTGTGTGTGTGACACGTCTGTGTGTGTGACACGTCTGTGTGTGTGACACGTCTATGTGTGTGTGTGACACGTCTGTGTGTGTGACACGTCTGTGTGTGTGACACGTCTGTGTGTGTGTGTGACACGTCTATGTGTGTGAGACACGTCTATGTGTGTGTGTGACACGTCTGTGTGTGTGTGTGACACGTCTGTGTGTGTGTGTGACACGTCTGTGTGTGTGTGTGACACGTCTATGTGTGTGTGACACGTCTGTGTGTGTGTGACACGTCTATGTGTGTGTGTGACACGTCTATGTGTGTGACACGTCTGTGTGTGTGTGTGACACGTCTATGTGTGTGTGTGACACGTCTGTGTGTGTGTGTGTGACACGTCTATGTGTGTGAGACACGTCTATGTGTGTGTGTGACTGATTTCTGCTCACGGTCACAAAATCGATGACAACCACCTGAACCTGTCCTGGGCCTCCCCTAGGTCGACTCAGCAGTAAGTGAGTACCCGGTACGCTGTGTAGTAAACATCGCCACCAGGGAGACAAAGGCGGCCGGGTGTGGTTGCTGGCCACCCACGCGCCCCATCGTTCACCGTCTCGCCCTTCATAGGTGCTGCTCGCCAACAGCACTTGCCGCAACAGTCCGCTGAGGCTACCCGGGTGATCTTTGTCTGTGCACACGTCCATCTGCGATGCGTGTGGGGAGCGGTGGTGCAGCGGTTAGCGCTACGCCGCGCTACGAACCCGGCGACCCGAGTTCGATTCCCGCTCACGGCCACCAACAGCGGCGACGATTATCCGAACCGGTCCTGGGTCTTTCCCCTAGGTCGACTCGGCCTCAAACGCGTTCCCGGTGCGGTGCGTAGTAAACATCGCGACAAGGGAGAGACAAAGGCGGCCGGGCGCGGTTGCTGGCCACCTCGCGGTGCCGTCCCAGCCTTCACCGGTGCGACGGGCTCACAGCACTTGCCCCGACGGTCTGCTCGAGGCTACACTGGGGGGGAGGGAGATCCTTTGTCTTTGTGTGGCAGCGCCTTACTTGGTACCGTCCCGACATCAGCTGGCTGCGAGACGGAGTGCAAATGGGCTGCACGTAGTAGCGTAGCAGCTTGACGCCGTGCCACGCGAGGTTGTCCAGCTGCGGGGTCCTGATCTCAGAGCCGTGAAAGCCAACGTCGTTCCAGCCGTAGTCGTCGGCGAGGATGAAGACGAGGTGAGGTGGAGGAGGACGAGGAGGTCTCGCCGGCGAGACGCACGCCACCACCAGAAGCAGCAGCAGCAGCAGCTGCGGTGCAGGATTCATCGTCTCGCGATCTGCCATGGACTCTGTGTCTCTCTCTCTCTGTCTCTTGTCGATGTCAAATCATTTTCTCTTTCGTGTTCTGCTTTTGTCCCCCTGTTGGCCGTGCGTCAAAACGGCGTTTCCGTGCGCTCAGGCCGGACGCAGATCCGCTCCGCCTCCGAAGAGGAGGGAGGGGAGAGGATGGAGCAGGGTAGGAGGGTGATGGGGTGGTGGGTGGTGGTGTGATTTGTGTGGTTCCCTTGCGCCGCCTAGCGGTATCTGCCGCACGGTTCTCTGTAATGCATGACAGAGAGGTCTCACCTTGACTTGAAGCTTTCGTGACTGCAGGAATTTATACCAAGGCCGTAGCCATGAAGTCAACATTGGGGGGGGACCAAATCTTCCAGGGTGTCTGGGGGTCCCAACCCAGAAAAAATATCTACATTTGAAAACGAATTTCCTGCCTAAAATATTTAAAAAAAAATTCACTAACACATGGGATGGACTTATTTTTTACAATAATGTCTTAGAGTGTATTGTATTAGATTGCTCTGTTTTTACTTTTTTACATTTTCTTGTTTCGTTGTATTTAATGGCAGAGATTAAGGATGAATAAAGTACAACCATAACCACAATCATATAAACATAAATATATGCGTTGTTATATGAAGACAAGTCCAGATATTGTGGCCAAGGTTTAGCAAATTGTTGTTTTTATTTACATAGCATAGCAATTTTATAGCAATATATTGGGGGGGACATTTTGAGCATACTTTAATATTGGGGGGGACATCCCCCCCCAAATATATATTATAATTACGGCCTTGAATTAATATTCTTTGGGTCTTTCGGTAAAGCAACGTAGATAGGTTCAAATAAAATAACAAAGACATTTCGATCGCAACACAAGCAGTCGTCATCAGCTGACCAGCTGCCAATGCGTTACTGGTACAGCACGCCGGTGTGTTGGAGAGTAAACCCACAAATGTTTGTAAATTGTAAATGTTGTCGTGGGTTTACTCTCCAACACACCGGTGTGCTGTACTAGTAACGAATTGGCACGCTTTGTTTACGTGACAAACCTTACTCATGGGCTGTGTCGGGTGGTGGCGGGTTTAACGACACAGTGATATTTACGCGATCTAACCCAATAAAACCTCTTGTGGACAGATATTGCCCGTGAAAGCCTCCTGCTAGACTACCACGACTACGTGTTAAATCTCTGTGATTTTGGGGGTAAACCGCAGAGCTCGGGCAAGTTTATTTGAAGGGGAGTCCCGGGATAATACATAGTGCTTCATGAACATGTGAACACTTACTCGTTGGTTCTTTCGGTGAAGTCACGTAGTAAGAAAATATCAATAAATAATAGAATACGACGTTTCGATTACAAGCAACCGTCATCAGGTGTGAATGAATGCAGAACCAGTGGCATCTACATCTACAGAACACGAAGCACCAGTGCCATCTACATCTATAGAACGTGAAGAACCAGTGGCATCTACATCTACAGAACACGAAGAACCAGTGGCATCTACATCTGTATAACGTGAAGAACCAGTGGCATCTACATCTGCAGAACGTGAAGAACCAGTGGCATCTACATCTGCAGAACGTGAAGAACCAGTGGCATCTACATCTGCAGGAGATTGTACAACTTGTAAATCCCCGTGTTTAGTGTACACGCCGTACAACACGTGTGGAATCGACAGGAGTAAAGTTGGACTTACGAACAAATCGACTTACGACCAGGCCTCTGGAATCTAACTCGTCCGTAAGTAGAGGGAGTCCCTGTCCAATGGGCAGCAGCCGGACCCCCCGATCTAGAGTGGTCGCCGTTTAAATTCTAAGCAAAGGTGCAAGGTTTCTCTCGCTGTTTCCTCCTCCTCCTCCCCAAGTCAAAACCTTTCGAGAAGTAGTGTCCAACTTCCTTACCAACGTCTTTCGTGGAAAATAGGAGGCCTCTGGCTTTCGATGGTCACACACCGGCAGCGGGGCTGCACCGCACCGCCGGGCATCTGTCGCTGGGCAGTGGCACGTGGGAGGTTGTGAGCGGAGCACAGAGCGAATAGGTTGAGCGAAATACCTCAGTAATCATAATGATGACTTTCATAACGCGCCAGATGCTGCAGAGAAGTCCACAAGTCGGAGGCGCGGAGCCAAGCTCAGCGCTGAGACCCAACACAGATAGAGAGATGCCTTTAGATGTGTCTTGAAGGTCAGAGGCCATTCCATGTTGTGGATGTGCAAGGGATAGAGAGAGTGATCCACACCGAGGGGCGACAGCAGAGAACCGACGTGAGTCTGTAACAGTGCAGTGTATAGTGTAGTGTATAGTGTAGTGTATAGTGCAGTGTATAGTAGTGTAGTGTATAGTGTAGTGTATAGTGCAGTGTATAGTAGTGTAGTATATAGTGTAGTGTATAGTGTAGTGTATAGTGCAGTGTATAGTAGTGTAGTATATAGTGTAGTGTATAGTGTAGTGTATAGTGCAGTGTATAGTAGTGTATAGTGTAGTGTATAGTGCAGTGTATAGTGCAGTGTATAGTGTGGTGTATAGTAGTGTATAGTGCAGTGTATAGTAGTGTAGTGTATAGTAGTGTATAGTGTAGTGTATAGTGTGATGTATAGTGTAGTGTATAGTGAAGTGTATAGTGTAGTGTATAGTGCAGTGTATAGTAGTGTAGTGTATAGTGTAGTGTATAGTGCAGTGTATATTAGTGTAGTGTATAGTGTAGTGTATAGTAGTGTATAGTGTAGTGTATAGTGTGGTGTATAGTAGTGTACAGTGTAGTGTATAGTAGTGTAGTGTATAGTGTGGTGTATAGTAGTGTATAGTGCAGTGTATAGTAGTGCAGTGTATAGTGTAGTGTATAGTGTAGTGTATAGTGTGGTGTATAATAGTGTATAGTGAAGTGTATAGTAGTGTAGTGTATAGTAATGTAGTGTATAGTGTAGTGTATAGTGTGGTGTATAGTAGTGTATAGTGTAGTGTATAGTAGTGTAGTGTATAGTAGTGTAGTGTATAGTGTGGTGTATAGTAGTGGATAGTGCAGTGTATAGTAGTGGAGTATATAGTGTAGTGTATAGTGTAGTGTATAGTAATGTAGTGTATAGTGTAGTGTATAGTGTGGTGTATAGTAGTGTATACGTAGTAGTGGAGTATATAGTGTAGTGTATAGCAATGTAGTGTATAGTGTAGTGTAGAGTGACGTGAGGCTGTAACAGTTCGACGCCTTTGGTGTCCGAAGCAGATGCTGGTGCCGCGTCGGATTCTACCATGAGCCTTCAGTGCAAGGCGAGAGAGTAGTGAGCCGAGGTGTGGTGGAGATCTGGTGGCTCAAGGCGCGATGTCGAAGGCAGGCGGGGTTTTGTCATTTGTCCCGCTGTCGGGACAAATGAGTCGAGTTGTAGATGGTGAACGCCAAGGCACGAGGCCTTGCAAAGAGAGGCGTGCACTGGGCGACGTTCCGGCAAACGCGCGGTGAGTTTCACCCGGGAGTTTCCAGTGTCCTTACCCCCCACATGAAGGAAGCCAGGCACTCGGCAATTGAAGTTGCCAAACATCCCAATTGAGAAGGTTCAACGTGCGGCTATTATTCATTTATCTTTCGTTTAAGGACACGCAGCGTGTGTCGACACGGCACGTGTTGGGTGACTTCGTTGTTGTGTGCCCTTCTGCATCACTGACAAAGCAGCAGCAGCAGCAGACCTCATCGTAAAATCATTCTTCGAATTTACCGAGGTTCTCCGTAGTTGCCGGATTGGACGATTTCGAAACGCAGACTATCTCACCCCCCCCCCCCATCATGGGGCCTCCCTTGCCAGTATCAAAATACAATAATAGGTTTTGACCCTTTCTGGCAGGAGAAAGTGTTACCCTTAACACGCCTGCTGTTTTATTGCCAGAAAGGGTCAAAGCTATTCTTATCCCCCCCCAACGCGCCGAATTGCTGTCCCAGAATAATGCATCCACCGGCGACCAACAACTTTAATCAACGCGCGCACACACACACAAACATCACAGCGCGTTGTTTACGATTTTAACAAACCAAACAAAAGGGCAAGATGGAAAAACATAAACTCGCAAATAATTATATTAATAATTACAATAAAATCAATCGGTCTCGCACACACGCGCGTCACTCCAGACGTGGACGGACGGCACGGGGAGCAAGCTGACACGAAGCGGCGCGCGAGGCGCCTCCCGTGCACCCACCGTGGATGGCGTGTGCCAGAAGGCCCAGGACACAGCCGCGTCTTCCTGTCACGCCGCGCCAGTTGGACATGCAACGCGGCGAACGCAGTTGGGGAACACATTTTCGTTGTTTTTTTATTATATATATAAAACGCTGATGCGCATTGGATGTGGAACGCGATCGAGCGAACGGAAGCGCGTTCGCAGCGCGAGTCGGAGCAAGCGGTCGTACGGCTGCTTCGGCGTAGCGTCGTTGCACAAGGCGGCATGCTGCTGGATGCTTCCAGATGCTTCCCACGCGCCTCGGTCTTTTGTCGGCCTGCGTACGCTTCTCACGCGTCATCGCGCGCTGTGCTTTACCCTACATTATATATGATTCATTATAACGCGATTATTACACAACACGGTGGTGCTTTTCAGGGACGCAACAACCATCGCATTATACAACAGACGGCACGTAGTGTCTGCTTCATATGCCACACTTCTTTCATAACCTCATATTCCATGAACGAGTTTGATGTCGCGTATTTTACTTCTGAAATTATAATTCTCTGTCACACATATACTAAAGGTCCCGTCTGTAATGGGCGCCATGGTGGCTAGGAGATGTTAATTCCCTCACCTGGTACACAGGAGGCCGTGGGTTCGATCCCGACCCTGACGCCTGCTGCTGTATACGTAAAGTCTGTGTGTCTCTCTCCCCGTGGTCACGTGGATTTTTCTCCGGGTCCTCTGGTTTAGAGTATTTGGCTGCGATACATTTCCGCAAAATGATAAGCCGCTTCGTTGAGATATAATTTGTGGCCAGGTCGCTTCTGAAAAAGTGCTGCACAACTCAGGGGGCCTTACGCGACAACTGCCCAAGATCTGCAGTCCTTTTCGGATGAAATGCGACTTACAAATGTCAATTATTATTGTTGTATTAAGGTGTTATTGGCCAATCTCATGAGTGTTTATATGTGGGAGGACACCGGAGCACACGGAGAAAGACTACGCATGCAAGGGGGAAACACGCTATCCCATCCATAATAGAGGGGTTTTTTTGGGTTAGATCGCGTAAATATATAAATGTGTCGTTAAACCTGTCACCACCCGACACAGCCAATTAGTAAGGGTTGTCACGTAAACAAAACGTGCCTATTCATTACTAGTTCGGCACACCGGTGTGTTGGAGAGTAAATCCACAAACATTTACAATTCGAGTACAGACGTTTCGCCGGTAATCCCCTTACAGACGGAACAGGTGGAGTCCACATATTTGCCATCTCCTGGCGAGTCAGGGTATGGCACTTCCTTGATAGGGAGTTTCACAACATCTATGCGATCCACCAACCCCTCCCCCCACCTCCCCACTGCCTCCACAGCGCTGGATGACAGCCCTGTGTAACTACCACCGCCGCCGCTGCCGCCCGGCTAAATGTCAACATTGGCATGGACATGCCAACATGAAGAACCAGAGGCACAATTGGATCGTTCGGAGTGATTTACCGACCCAGAGACCGCCTACCGCATGAGGTTCCTTTTACGCTGTCCACCCGAAACGAAACTGTAGAATGTTGGGATGCAACAAAAGTAAAATTCAACATCCTCGAAATTCAAATGAGGTGCTGCCCCTTAGCAGGTGGCAGCAAATGGGTCCAAATTGCATCCCACCGGGGCACTCCACACAGCCGAGATTGAGTTTCTCTCCCCCCCCCCCCCCGCTATATTTCTCTGGCGAACTACTGCACGGCGCGCGGTTATCGCGTCTATTTTCTAAACGTCATGGCGGTAAGTGTGGGAGGCCGGATGAGCCAAAAGAAATAGCTCGGGAGGTGGCGGGCGCCGTCCCTTTGTGACAAATGCCGCGGCAGAGACGGGGAGCCGCTGGCTGTGGGCGGGAGAGAACGAGCCACGGTTACCGCCGCCACCACCACCACCACCATCATCATGCATCGATTGTTTGGACATTCACTCGACGAATAGACATTCTAGGGGCTACGCACACAGCGGGCTCGCTAGCCTAGACACCATCTCTAAATATTGCATGGGCAAGTGTCCCGTCCGCTAGATCGCCCGGCCTCAGCCAGCCTAGGCGCCTACTCCTTTTACCCTTTCTCCCCCTTCTCTCCCTTCTCCCCCTTCTCTCCCTTCACCTCCTCCTGCTTCTGTTTGCTCGGGCTGGGCTTGTGCGAATCCTCTTTCTCCTTAGCACGAGGCGTCGTCTTCTTCTTCTCCTCCTTCTCCTGCTCCCCCACCGGCGACTTCTTATTATTCTTCTTGTTGGAGCTCGCCACCGCCGCCGCCGTGACGTCGCCCTCCCCGGCGGACGCCTTGGCCGCCACTTTCTTGCCGTTGTCCTCGGGCGTCTTGCGGCGGAGGAGCAGCAGCGGCGGCGAGTAGGAGCCGGGGAACGGCGAGCGGCTCGAGGAGGAGAAGGAGGCGGCGGAGGTGCGTTCCGCCACGCTGCCGCCGCCGCCACCTCCGAAGCGGGTCTCCTCACCCTCCAGGAGTTTTCTGTCCGGGACGAGAGGAGGAGGAGGAGGTGGCGGCGGTGGTGGCACCGTTTTTGTTGGGTGGGGGGGGGGACACACGAGGCAACTGCGGCGCAGCCAGCGCGTTTTTGCCGATTGTTGCGGAGGTTCACGGTTTTGAGGCCCAGTGGCCGCCCTGGTTAATACTGGTTCAACACGCAGCACTGTCGTAGGGCTTTTTGCGATCCATATTTTCCATAATAGAGGGGGGGGGTTTTTCTGGGTTAGATCGCGTAAATATAAATGTGTCGTTAAACCCACCACCACCCGACACAGCCAATTAGTAAGGTTCGTCACGTCGACATGAACCTGTCAATTCTTGACGAGTCCAGCACACCCGGTTGTGTGTTGGAGAGAACAAAAAATAACCCACGACATTAAATTTTGATTTAAAGCTTTCGTGACTGCAGTAATTCATATTCTTAGTTCTTTCGGTAAAGTCACGTTTTTATTGTTTTATATATATTTTATTATTTTGTTGTTTCCCTTCAACGTGACTTTACCGAAAGAACTAAGAATATGAACCCACGACATTCACAATTTGACGTTTCGCCGGTAATTATAATACCGCGGGTTATATTCACCGCGGAGAGACTTATGTGCGCAGTGTACACCACGGGGGGCAGGCGGGGGGGGAGGGATGTTAAATATCCCCACGAGGTTTGTCAAAGGGAAGAAAAAGTGGAGGCGGCCACGTGGTTCAAATTAGCCACGTTTGAAAAATAATTGAATGGCAAAGATCACTCTCATTGGTTGGCTCAAAGCCACGTGGGCAGCACATTCGCCCCTCCCCCTACTGGCAGACGAGTGCTGCCCACCCAATTGGCAGGCCCCCTGCTGCGTGCACCTTTGTGACGCGTAGGGACAGCTGACAGCTGCCACCGGGGGGCGGGGGGGGGGAGGTCCCCTTGGTGAAGACTGCAGCAGCAGGGCACTGGAAAAGGTGGAGACGATGTGACGCCAAAGAGCGCTTTGAGCTGTCGAGGCATTTAGGCGAGCGCCAATCTCAAATCCCAACACGAGTCAATCTCTAAAACGCCACCTCGACGCCACCTTCGAAACGTCGAATGGATTCCGCAAGGGAGCGCGCAAACTGAGCGCGCGTTTGGGCACGGCGAACAAAGTGACGAGTGAGAGAGAGAGACGAGAGGGAGTGAGAAAGAGACGAGAGGGAGAGACAGAGACGAGTGAGAGACTTTGACTTTTGAAATCCTTTATTACCCAGCAGCAAATGCTCTGGGCGGTTTCGGTGTTCACACAGCGAGAGTCACCAATAAACAAAATCCAATAAACAAGGTCCGTGCGCGTCATCGCGCGCAAGCCCACCGCCACCGATCACCACCAAGGCCCCGTCGACACGGGCGTACCCATCATTGCAAACCGCACGGCAAACGAAACTGATAAACGGAAGGAAAAAAACCCAGCCCGAGGTGCGCGCACGCACCGCTCTAGAACCTGCTTCACAACGAGGACCATGGGGACAGAGCCCCAGCGCCACAACACGACACACGCGCTGCACGGGGGGGGGGGGGGGGGGGGTCCCCTGCCAGCTCGGGCGAGTGTGCACACCTGAACACACAAACCCGCTCCGGGGTTCCGCGCTCGAACATCGCGCGCGTGACCCACTCGCAAGATGGAGCGGGAGCAGAAACAGGCCGGTCCACGCACGGTCAGCGCCACCAAGATCACAACAACAACGCGTCGCATGCCGCGTCAACCACGCGAAAACAAACCCAACAGGTCCACGTCATCCTGGCTAGCTACAAGAAGGTCATCTCTGTCCTTAATGTAGCTTGGCCCCTTCAGAAGTGTACGAGTCCAAAGCGCGAAACCGGCGCTGCGGAGACGCGAGTCCACCACCAGCAGCAGCAGCACACAGGTGAGTCCATCCCTATACCTGCGTACCCACACGTAGGCCCCCCGAGACCTGCCTGCCCCGACCACCAGGGCCGCGGCTCTAGGTGTCAGTCGGAGCGGCGGCCCCCGGGGGGAGGCGTAAAATCCCGGGATACTTCTTCTTCTTCAACTTCAGCGCGAGAGCTTTCAGCCTGTAACACTCCTGCTCAGTACAGCCGTAGTCGTCACGGCCACGGCAGATCTTCCGCACGACTGCCAGAAGACCCGGCGCGTCGGGGAAGGTGGCCTCGGCGTCTACCCCGCGCTTCCCAAAGTTGGCGCGTAGGAAACGAAGGATAGAGCTCGGATCGTAGTCCACCTCTCCCGGGGCTTTGCCGTCGTCCGCGTCGTCTTCGGAGTCGAAGGACGTCGGCGTCGACGCCCACGAGATCGTGTCCTCCCTCCCTTCCGTTCGCTCCTCGTCCAGGTGAAACTCTCGCCCGCACTCACGGGGCTTGTGGACCGCCGCCTCAGCCGACCCCACCCCGAGCCGGGATCCCCGCCGGCTCAGGGGGGGGGTCCCCGACCCCGCGGCCCCATCGGGTGCGCCGGACGCCGCCCGTCGCGTCCCGCGGCTCCGGCTCGCCGTCGCTCCCCGTCTCCACGTCCGCGTGGTCCTCCGGCTCGCTGCCACCACCGGCGACCGCCGTCCGCTTCGCGGTTGGGGGGGGGGGGTCCCGACGCGTCCCGCCGCTACCGCGGGGTCGCTCCTGGCCCTCCGCTTTCTCTGCCGGGGGGGGCGGACGGGCGGACGAACAACAACGTCTCGAACACGTCTCGCTCGTCCTCAGCCTCCCGCTCCTCGCAGTCTGCTGCCGGGACGGCGAGGTTTCCCTGCTGCCCCCGCTGCTGTTGCTGTGGTGGTTGTTGTTGCTGCAGCTGTTGCTGCTGCTGCAGCTCCTTGTGTGTCTCTCTCTCTCTGTGTCTCTCTGTGTGTCTCTCCCTGTGTCTCTCTCTGTGTCTCTCCCTGTGTCTCTCTGTGTGTCTCTCTGTGTCTCTCTCTATGTGTGTCTCTATCTGTGTCCCTTTCCCTGTGTGTCTCTCTCCCTGTGTGTCTCTCTGTGTGTCTCTCTCTCTGTGTCTCTTTCTCTGTGCGTCTCTCTCTGTGCGTCTCTCTCTCTGTGCGATTGTCTCTGTCTATCTATCTGTGTCCGTTCGTCTGTCTCCGCGACCCACGGCAGCCGCGCCCGACCTCGGCGTGCGACTGCGCGCGTGGTGGTGGCGGTGGCGATGATTTTGCCGATCCTGAGCGCGCGTCCGCGTGTCCGTGCGCGCGTGCGTGCGTGCGCTATGAGAATGGCACGTTCCGATTTGTGTTTTTGCCGCAGAGAAATGGCGTGCCGCGTGGAATGAGAATGGCACCAAGCGGCTCTGCCCGTCGAAGATTTACGGCCTGCAGGGGAGACGCCTCCGAGTAGCACGGTTGGCTACGTGCGGCGCGAAAGAAGTCCAGCGTACAGCATGCAGCACATACACGCGGAGTTGGTCCACGGATCACCTCCGTGTGGCAGATGTTGGCGTAGGGAGCCCACGGCAGTGCCTCGCGTGTATCCATCTGTGTGAGTGTCAGGGTCTCGATGCAAATATATGGCGGCTCTTCCGCGTGCATCTTTAGATCTCTGTGTGAGTCTCAGGGTTTCTATGTGAGTTTATGGTTCTGTGTGTCAATCTATAGATATATGCGAATCTATTGCTGTGTGAAGCTATACATCTATCGTGTGAGTCTGTGGGTGCCGGTGTGAATCTTAGATCTCTGCAAGTCCATGGGTCTGTATGCGAGTCTGTGGATCTCAGTCTGAATCTTAGACCTCTGCGAGTCTGTGGGTCTCGATGCGAGTCTGTGGGTCTCGGTGTGAATCTAAGTTATCTGTGTCAGTCTATGGGTTTATATGTGAGTCTATGGATGTCTGTGATTCTGTGGGTCTCATTGTGAATATTTAAATCTCTGTGTGATCATTAGACCTCCTTTGCCAGTACCAAAATATAATAATAGGGGTTTTCCCCTTTTTTCTGGCATTTTGTTGCCAGAAAAAAGGGGAAAACCCCTATTATTATCTCTGTGTGAGTCTATGAGTCTATATGTGAGTCTATATGGGTGTCTGTGAGTCTGTGGGTCTCAGTGTGAATATTAAAATCTCTGTGTGAGTTTATGGGTCTCTATGTGAGTCTATGGATGTCTGTGAGTCTGTGGGTCTCAGTGTGAATCTAAGATCTCTGTGTTAGTCTATGGGTCTATATGTGAGTCTATGGGTGTCTGTGAGTCTGTGGGTCTTAGTGTGAATCTTTAAATCTCTGTGTGAGTCTATGGGTCTATATGTGAGTCTATATGGGTGTCTGTCAGTCTGTGGGTCAGTGTGAATCTTTAAATCTCTGTGTGAGTCTATGAGTCTATATGTGAGTCTATGGGTGTCTGTGACTCTGTGGGTCTCAGTGTGAATATTTAAATAGCTGTGTGAGTCTATGGGTCTATATGTGAGTATATTGGTGTCTGTGAGTCTGTGGGTCTCAGTGTGAATGTTTAAATCTCTGTGTGAGTCTATGGGTCTATATGTGAGTATGTGGGTGTCTGTGAGTCTGTGGGTCTCAGTGTCAATATATAGATCTCCGTCTTCTTCCCCGTGTGGCTCGTGTTGATGTCGGGAGCAACCGCTGTAATTTTACATTGAAGAGCCAGGGATGATTGCGTCCGGGGTAGCGGAGTGGTGTATGGTGGCAGTGCTAATGCCTCCTCCTGCGTCTTTGTGAATCGGGCATCGGAGTTGTCGTACTATGATCCACGGTTCCGTTCTTGGCTGGTGACCACAATTCTCCGCACACTGCCCGGAGGCGATTTCACATTTCCAGTTGCGCATCGTGCGTTAATTTACAAACACAAACTCGTGTGTGGGGGTGGCGTGTCAAATGTGTCCAGACATAACGCGTTATCAAAGGGCCCCTGCTGTATATTCAAACGGAACATTGCTTGGCGATGCTGCTGCTTGCTGTTGGCACAAGCAAAAGCAATAAAAGAATCCAACATCTCCGTCACCGTGTGTGTGGGGGGGATGGGCCTTAAAAAGGAAATGTATATAATAGGCGACGTTTCGGGCAATGGCCCATCTTCATAGCACATACAGTGTACATCGAGAGGACAGAGTGAATACTCAGAGTTGGAGACTGCACTCTTTTATATTTCAGTCGGTTAAATAGGTTATTTAAATACTGTAAATGTTATCCATAAAATAGGTGTTTGTGTTAGATCACGTGAATGTAAATGTGTCGTTAAACCCGCCACCACCCGACACAGCCAATGAGTAAGGTTTGTCACGTAAACAGGACGTGTACATTAGTTACAAGTTCAGCACACCGGTGTGTTGGAGAGCAAATCCGGTGTGCTGTACTGTACTCGTAACGAATTGGCATCTTCTACTTTACAATCATTAACTGATAAGACCACCTCAGCTGTACTTAGCTCAGCTCACTTGGTATCTCTAATTAAGGACATATCACTATCTCCAGGTGATTTGCTCGTTCGTTTCGATGTGGTTTCTTTGTTTACCAAAGTTTATGTGCTTAACACCATTGAAATCATTGAAGATTTGGTCCAACAACGACTGAATGCTGATGTACCGGCCCTGGTGATACACTGCCTCACCAACACTTACTTCACCTGGAATGGAACATTGTACAAACAAGTTGAAGGCACCCCAATGGGTTCTCCCTTATCTCCAATTGTAGCCAATGTTTTCATGGAAAAACATTTTTTGAGACAGATGCCATCCAGGCATCCACTCTACGTTTGTCCTTGTGGAAGAGGTACGGAGATGACACGTTCGTCATCTGGCCACATGGCCGACCAGCCCTGACCCAATTCCTCAACCACATCAATTCCATACACTCAGCCATCAAATTCACCATGGAGGTGGAAAAGTATAGCAAGCTACCATTCTTGGATGTTTTAATCTAAAAGAGACCAGATGGCTCAATGGGACACTCGGTCTACAGGAAAGCTACCCATACTGATGCCTGCCTAAAACCTGACTCCCACCAGCATCCATCCAAGAAAAATTCCCTCATAAAAACTTTACACCATAGAGCTCGATGTATTTCCGACCATCATCACCTGACCAGTGAACTGGAACACGTACACCAAGCTATCAAGATGATATTCAGACTACACAATCTGTAAATCTATCACCCCAACCGTTGGGAAAGAACCATCTGAGGACCCAATCAAAACCATCACCTTGCCATACATAGGGATCACCAAAAATATTTCCCAAATCATGAGCAAACAACATTCAGGTTCGATTTAACACAGTACATAAAATTCGTGATCTGATCTGTGAAGGATGTGATCCCTGACATGCAATACTCCGGCGTCTACAAACTCAGCTGTGCCTGTGGCAGTCGTTACATTGGGGAAACTAAGCGACATGTCTCGCACCGTGTTCGTGAACATTAGGCAGATCTGAAACACGGTAGGACCAATACCTCGGCCGTGGCTGATCATTGTGTAGTGTGATGTACGGAGGCACACACACTAGAGTTGGAGGCAACACGTTTATTTACACTTCCCAAGAGGGAACTCTAACGTACATTGGTTCACTGTCTAGGTGATAACTACATGGCGAACTCTGTGAGTAGCGAGTTAACTATACTGGCGGGTCAGTCAGCCTCTACGCTGCCTGACCCACGATGCCAAGCGAAGACCGCGGGACCCAGAGATGACGAGACGCAGGACCCAGCGTTGATCCCACAGACGAGCCCCGATCCCTGGTGGGGCCTCCCCTTTATCTCCCCGGCCGCGGCCTCGCCCTGCCCTCGGCCACGCCTCCTTCTGTATCATGTCAGGAGATCTTGGCTCCCAGTCACGTGTCCCTCGAGCCTCATAGGGAGGTTCCAGGCGCCCAGCAGCACTCCTGTGATAGTAGCTGGCTCTAACACTATAGTGACAACATTACCATCACTACAATTGTTACTTTGGTTCTATTCGGTAAAGTCACGTAGGTAAAAAATAAAACAACAAAAATCACGACGTTTCGGCCACAACACAAGCGGCCTTCATCAGGTGAAGGGACCAACCTGTCCAGTGGACAGCATTGGAGTGAAGCAAGCCAAGCGCTGGTCGCCTCCTTTTAAGCTGTGAGGGGGTAAACGGCAAACGCCTTGAAAAGGAAATTAGCATAACACACACCACTAACAACGCTTGGAATTAGCACAAGATGATAATACACCACCCTGGAAGTTTGGAGTGCCACTACTAGAATAAATATACTGTACCATTGAAAATTAGTTTAATGTTTGGTTCGATTTAGAACATATTTCCAATGATAAACTATTAAAGCTTTCGTGACTGCATAAAATTACTCATTGGTCTTTTCGGTAAAGTCACGTATGTAGAAATACAATAAAATTATATTAAAACAAAAAACAATCACGACGTTTCGATCACAACGCAAGCGATCTTCATCAGGTGTCAAGAACAAATCACGAATTCAACAAACCTAAAAAAACATTATGTGAAGCACATCCAGTCAGGCAAACAACACAGACACTTCCTGGCGGACCACGAATTTCAGAAGAGTGTTAAATTTCGTGTTCAACCTTTGGATTGCACATACCAGCATATATAGAATTAAAAATACGAAGTACACGGTCAGTAGAAATATATATACAAGTCCACCAAGAGGTAAGGAGGGAGGAAAGACGGACAGGGAGGCAGATAGAGAGAGGGGGGGGGGCAGAGGGATGAACAGAAGCTTAAATAGGAAATACGGTTGGAGGGGGGGGAGAATTGTAAATGTTGTGGGTTTTACTCTCCAACACAGTGGTGTGCTGTGCTGGTGTAGTGTGTGTTGTAAATGTTGTGGGTTTTACTCTCCAACACAGTGGTGTGCTGTGCTGGTGTAGTGTGTGTTGTAAATGTTGTGGGTTTTACTCTCCAACACAGTGGTGTGCTGTGCTGGTGTAGTGTGTGTTGTAAATGTTGTGGGTTTTACTCTCCAACACAGTGGTGTGCTGTGCTGGTGTAGTGTGTGTTGTAAATGTTGTGGGTTTTACTCTCCAACACAGTGGTGTGCTGTGCTGGTGTAGTGTGTGTTGTAAATGTTGTGGGTTTTACTCTCCAACACAGTGGTGTGCTGTGCTGGTGTAGTGTGTGTTGTAAATGTTGTGGGTTTTACTCTCCAACACAGTGGTGTGCTGTGCTGGTGTAGTGTGTGTTGTAAATGTTGTGGGTTTTACTCTCCAACACAGTGGTGTGCTGTGCTGGTGTAGTGTGTGTTGTAAATGTTGTGGGTTTTACTCTCCAACACAGTGGTGTGCTGTACTGGTGTAGTGTGTGTTAACTTAGGCGCACACTTGTACTTGGAGGCAACACGTTTATTTAACACAACGGGTAACTCTAACAGGATAACAGCACAGGCTGGTGATCACCACGGCTAACTGAACTGACACTCGGGGATACGATTCTATAGTCGGGCCATGACACCTAACGGGCTGCCTGGTCCACGCGTGAAGACCGGAGACCGAGGACCGCTTATAACTCCCACGCCCCCCTTCCAGAACCCTCGGGGCGACTCTGGGTCCCCGTCACGTGATCCCCCCTCGTCCGGTCACGTGCCCTCC